ATAAGCCCACAGGTCTCTGGTTTATTCTGGATTCACCGAAACACTGGGTGACAACACTGTTCCTTCCTGAGGACGTGCGGTGTTTCAGGTGATGAGGGGAATGAACAAAGACCTGTAACGGTGTCCCAGCAGAGGCAGGGCTGTCAGTGTTGCTGCTGACGCTGATCTCATTCCAAACTACCAAGCTGTGCTGCGTCACATCGGGAGGAGGAGGGGGCAGCAAAGCAGCTGTTGTACTGTGTCTTAGTTCTACAGAGCACTTTGAACAAGTTGTTCAAACTGTGGCTGAAATGAATGATGGAAGAGAATTTGCTGCTGGTTTGGCTCAAAGTGGTATATAATTTTGTAGAGGTATTGCAGTTTTTTAACTTATCTGCAGGAATGCAGGAGATGATGTGAAACTACACGTGCATTTTATATATTTGCATCAGTTAGATTCAGGTATTCTGACTGAAAGCTGCTTTCTGAGTGGCGCACTGGGAAAGCTTGTGAGCACATTAGGTATAATTCTATGTCAGCCTCCTTCCGTCCCTCCCTGTCCAGCCAGTGCATTGTAAGGTGTTTGTTGACCCAAATCAAGCTTACAACTGTGCAGCAAAGTTCATGTTATTCACAATTTTTGGACTGTGGAGAAATTTTCAATTTTTTTTAGGAGTACTTTGGGTAGAAGTATTTTCATGAGTAGTGTTAAAGGAGACAGTCTAAATGTATTACAACGATTCCTGGTCCCAACAGAATTAGTGAAATCTGCTCAGTTGCTTGAAGACAAAGCAGACGCAGGGGTTTTGAGTCTTATGGGAGCCCTGGGATCTTTCATTTTTATATGTGCAAATAGATTTTAAACCATGAATTTGGAAATTGGCTTTCTATAGTGCTGTTCCTTTTGGTTCTGTGGCTACCTGGACCATCCTGTACTCACAGATGAGTTCACAGAAACATGCGTGTCCCTGTCTCTTACAGGGGCTGTTCTCCCCAAAATGTGCTTTCCCCTCCATTAGCGGGCGCAGCGGGCAGTGCGTAGGTGGGGTGCAGCCCCCTTTGGATCGGGGGCTGCTCAGCAGAACTAATTAAATCGGACTGTAACGGTTCATTTTCCAGTGGCTGAGGGGGGAATGTGTATTTTCTAGTTCGTAACCTTTGATTTGTAAAGTAAGATGCATCTTTTATTTGGTTTATGCTGATCAGTTCTGTTTGCTGGAGTCAGGAGTTACCCTTGGGACCACTGTTTAAGTCTTTTAAAGAATATTTACCATTCCATGTACTAATGATGGCTCACAAAAATGGAGAAATTTTACCAATTATTTAAATGCACCGTTTTCTGTTATGGAAGGGACCCTGGGATTTGCCAGACATGACAAGTTTGTGCAGAGTGTTACTGTTCTTCCAGTTTATGTGCCACGAGTAACCCTGGACATTAGTTTCTCACTTAGGTGTGCAGTGGAATCCAGTAGCTGTAGCCTTTGTCTGCACCACTGATTTGCTCCCAAGACTTTTGTTTTCTTTGACGCAACAGCAAAGAAGGAAAATGGTGTTGAAATGTGGGAGGAAACACCTTCACTGTTTTTGTTTGTGGAGCAGGTTCATGTTTCTGAGGAGCTGAGCTTTGGCTAAAACTGGAGATTACAAAAAAAAAAAAGGAATTAAAAAAAAAGATAAATTCAGTGAGACTCCCCAGGCCCTCTGACTTGTGTTGCTTTGGCCTTGTGCCTTCTAGTGAAGCTCGTATTGACCCCTGAAGTACAGACTTTGCTCTGGATTGCAAAGCTCCCAAGAGTTTCACCTGTGTGGCAGCCCTGAAGAGATTTTTTAGAAAGCGGAACGCATATAAATCCTGACCAAAAATCTGCTGTTGTTGAAGTCTTATGCTAGTCGTCATGTAACTGACTCCGCAGATGGGACTGTGGGAGTCTGTTAGAATTTTTTTGCCTTATGATTGACTTGAGAGTAATAATCCATTTCCTCATGAGTTAAAGGAAGGAGAGAAGAATAAATCTTTGCTTTGCCAAACACACTGCTTTGTCTCTTAGTCTCTTAGAAATCTCAGCTGATTTCTTCTCTACCTGTTCTTCCTGGGAAACTGAATCTCTTTGCAAAGCAGGGCTTTGCTGCCCTCACCCTTGCAACCTGAAGGTAGCGTTGTTCAGCGCTCTCTGTCTTTGAGAACAACGGCGTGTTTCAGACTCCTGTAGCACACGTGAGATGGCACAAACCTGGATCATCTGACAAAAGCTCATCTGCTGCTTCCTGGTTTTTTGCAAAGGTCCCTTTACTTGCTTGTGTATTTTTAATTCCTTAACGTCATATGTTGTGTCACATCAGCCTCTGAGCTTCACAGCCCATCTCAATTCCACCGTGTGCCCCCCAGCACAACAGGAGCTTTGCACATCTCCGAAGGGTTTTCTGTTGAGGGCTCTGTGGTTCTTGGAGCCAGAGCCTTCGCGGCAGGGTCCGTAACCTGCTTTGGTGTGTCAGCTCCTGGTACGCTTCTGATGCTTGTGTTGGGTGTTGCAGGAAGGCCATCTCTTCAGCCTGTGATTCTGTCCTTTTGCAGTAAGGGCTGCATTGGTTCCTCTCCAAGAGCTTGAGTGCCTTACCTCAGTAAAAGAAAACAAAACCAAAATCCCAGCCCCGCCCCCCAGCTGTACCATTCGCTTGTGCTTCCACTGAGAAACAGAAGTGGGCACGGGCACAGATGCAGAGTGCTGCCCCGCTGTAGGACTTGGAAGTCTCACACTCTGGGCTTTAAGCCACAGCTCAGAAAGAAATACAGACCTGTTTGCTCAAAGAAAATTTAATAGATGGATGGGGCCACAGTTAGCATCTAATCTCTGAACTTCCTGAGAACTGAAGTCTCACTACAGGTCTTAGGACACTGTTGGTTTTGCAATGTGCAAGAGGAGGGAGTGCTGCTGTTGGGCTCCTCCCTTCAGCTCAGAGAGCACCGCAGGACCAGGGTTTCCTGCTTGGACCCTGTTCTTCCTTCCCCAAGGCTTCCAAATGTTATGGGCGTTTGTGGTACCGGCTCCAGACTTCTGCCACCGTTTCTGAAGCCTGTTTTTGTAATTGGTTTTAGCAGTGCTCATCTCTCTCATCTGCATTGAAGTCAATGTGTATCTTGTTTATCCCTTTGCCATAGCACCTGAAAGCCTTTAGTTCATCCTTCCACATAAATCAAACCATTTGTGTCCCTCACACTGTGTGGTTTCCTTTCAGGCAAGTGCTGTCCGTAAGAGGAAAATAAGAGACCAGTATAGTCCATTATAAGAGGATTAAAGAACTGTTACCCTTCTGGGAGGTGAAAAGACACCCGGGTCTCTGTCCATGCAAAGGCACAGAACAAGGCCCTGGACAAAGGCAGTAACTTGCAAATTACTTTCCAGACAACCCCCACGAGGCCGGGCTGGGGCAGCTGGGGTGCCTCATGCTGGGAGCTAAGGGTGCTGCTGGGCAGCATCAGCGCAGCATAATCCCGTCTGCAGCCACATCACTCTGTGGTGCTGGTCCTGAAGAACTGCTGGGGTACAGCAGATCTAAATTCAGACAAGTTGAGGGGTCTGAGTGTGGAGGGTGAAGGCCAGATTCCAGCGCCTCAAGCAGCAGCCTTGTCTGAGCCGTAGTTTCAGCAACAACCCTGAAGCCTGACTTCAGTAGGAGCAGAAGGGACCTTGACAGCTCTTAGCAGAGGCTTTCATCAGCACCAGCGGAGAAGATCCGCGTCTTGCTGAGGATGTAGTTCCACTGACAGTCTTAAAGGGTTTTTCTTTGGGGGCTGGAGTTTGACTAACTGGGTCTTCCATGCGTTGTCCCTCATTTGGACATGCCTGGAAGATCTGATAAACGGATGTAACTGTTCCTGCTCTTCTCTGCACTCCTCAGTGGGGGGGGTGGGGAGCAGAAGCTTTGGCCTTTTGTACTTAAGAAGAGGGAAGTGGGGTGTGTGCAAAAATACCTTTTGTCAGCACCCGAATATTGTGAAATAACCTCGGTGGCCAACGTTGTGGCTCTGGGAACCAGTCCTACTGGGAGGGCAGGCACGACCCAGCAGTGCAAATACTTTAACACAAAGCCTTGTGTTTGAGCGATGTAACAGAAGCTGAAGCAATGCTGTGACTCTGCCTGTGTAAGTAATGAAAGCCTCTGATGGCCCAGGAGGCTCCTGTGCTAACTCATAAAATCGTCGTGAATGGATCAACAGAGGCATCCAGTTAATTACCAGGATTTAATTTTTTTGCAATTATGCTAGTATTTATTTGTGCATAGTAATTCCAGTAGGTAAGAATTCATCTGTTGATGTGCAAATATAAGTTTACTCCACCTGGAAAGGTGAGAAGTATCCTTTTTTATCTTCTTTGGTTACACTACCAAGCCATGAAATGATATCACACGCTTTAATAAACTTGTAATTTATTTTAAAAAAATCTGAAGATGTCTCAAGTGGAAGTGTGCTTTACCGGTCACCAATATGCAGCTCTGGAGTGACAGCAGTACACACCAGCATTACTTTGTGTAGATCTCCCACTCCACAACTGGAAATCTCTTCTGCAAGTTAAAAACCAAACCAAACCAAACAAATCCAAACCCACAGCACTGGATGAGGCTGACATACAACTGGTCACTAGTGGAGTCCCCTGTGAACCTCTGCTTTGTCACTACTTGTCTAACACTTTCTGTCTAAAAATAATTGAGCTTCAACCTTAAGGTGCCTCCTGCCACCATGCGGGGCAGGGCGATGATGGCTGTTGGGCCCTCCAGGCAAGCTCCCGTTTATAACACCGCCTCGGGCCGAGCAGGTGAACATGAAACCTGCACAATATGGTTTTGGCTTCAGTCGGTGGTTTGGCCTTTTGCTTTTCTTCTGATGCTTGATTAGGGGCAGGACACTCCAGAAAGCAGGATTTCCACTGTCATGGCAGAGGAGGTGATGCTTTCCTGACCAGCACAGGCACAGCTCCGCGGGCTGCTGTCGTTCGGTGTCCTGCTGGCGGCCTCGCGCCCCCGTGTCACAGCCGTCCGCCTGCTGAAGCCCCTGAGCCTCTCTCCTGTGCTCTTTCCATCCTGGCAGATTTCACCCAGCCGTTGATGATGCTCGCTTCGAGCTTGCGCACCTCCGTGACAGATGGGGGGTCGGCTGGATTGTGTCCTCTAGAGAAAGCAGAGCAGTGTGAGCTTGTCAGTGGGCAGCAGCTCTTTGCCTCCTACGCAGGGAAAGCCAAGCCAGGGACCTGAATGACAGAGTTTATCTGCTTTGTACTTCTAGTTATGCCCTGGAAAACAAGCTCCAGTGTCAGGCTTGAGAGCCCTGAGCTCTCCCTTGCATCAGTGGCTGCTGCCCTCTCTGCTCTGGGCCTGATGGCTAATGCCAAGAGATGCTGGACTACTTCATGTGGCTGATCGCTACCGGCTACCCCACACTTGTGCCAATCCCTGTGCAAGAACATGCTCTAATGAAAGTACCTGAGCTCGGTGCCAAGTTCTGCCCAGCCTGGCTTCCCTGATGGCTGTGAGAGCCCTGTACTGGGGAAGACGCTTACTCTTCCACACTGAGGCTGCAGCAGCCTGGTGCCCAGTCCTTTAAGTGAAGTATCTCCTGGTTCCTTGGACTGTGGCTGCAAAGACCAGACACCCAGGGCAGCAGGAGTTTGTCGGCCAAAGAAGTGTTCAGTACTCACCGGAGATCGAGGTGATGAGCGCCGCCTTTAATGGTCAGTGCAATGAGTGAAGGACTGAGGCTGCTGTTTATCTGGAAGGAGAAGGAGCAGACACAAACTCTCACCAAATAACCGGGCAGAACTGGTCACCTCTTCCGAAAACTGAAGACGAGGTGGGCAGGACTCGGGAAAAGCATGGGAAGAGAGCCTCGGCACGGCTGACACTGTGCACATGGCTGACAGTCCTGAAGAGCCAAATCATCTGTCCCCAGTGAAGGGAAGGCTTCCCACAGGATGGGAGCTGTCAGCCCGTTCCAGTACAGGTGGTCTGAAGTAATGGGATCCTTCAGGCCCATGCGCCCTAAGCAGCTGTTCCTCTTGCAACTGGGCTTGCCCAGCCAGCCTAAACCAAGGAACTCCTGTGTTATATCAGGAGCTCAGATAACTCAAAATCCAGTTCTGGGTCATTTTTGTTCTGAAATTTTAAACTAGAGCTCTGCCACCACTCTGAAGTTTTGTTGAGCCGAAGCCAAAACATGCCCTGGTTCAAGGTGCTGCTTACAGCAACTGCTTGGTCCCACAAAGCGTGCTGAGACTGGGGACAGCGAGGAGCACGCGGCTGCCAGCATTGAAAGCAAGTCTCAACACAGAAACATGCTGGGTTGTGGGTCAGGAGGCTCCTGCTCTGTGAACTAGTGCACTAGTGAAGCCACTGTTGCTGCATCGGGACACTAGTCACAGTGGTTCTGGCTGAGGGACACTATTCAACGTGTCCATCGTTAATGTCCTGAGGCTCCTGAATGGTTCAACATAAACCAGCCGCTTGCAGAAACTCAAACAGGCTAAAGATGACTTGCCAGTGCTGCTTTGAAGGGGAGAGAGGGGCAGTGTACCACCTGGAAAGGCTGCTCTCTCTGCTTGGTGTGCAGGAGTCCACATGCTTACCCCACCGCCAGCCCACGGGTCCAAGTCTCCATTTGAAAAAATGATGTTGCTTGCACTTTTCAGGTCTGAAATTCAGAGAGATGACATTTGAGAGGCCTCCTCCCTGGCCATTTACCCAAACCTGTTTGGCTACTGTAGCAAACACGGCCAAGAACAGAAAACACAGAGGAATAAAACAAATTCTTGGCAGTTTTTAGGTTTTTCCACTTCTGTCTCAAGGAAAGGTCAGTTTGGCTCAAGTCAGCACAAGGCTGTGACTTTCTGCCAGGACTTGTTAGTGTGCTACGCCTGTCCCCGTGCAGCTCTGCTGGGCAGAGGTGGGACAGGCAGACAGCTAGAGGGTAACACAAAGGGACAGGCAGCCAGCACAGCTCACCTCCTCCCCAAAAGTTTGTCCGCAGCCAGTGTGCTCGTGGCCTTACGTGCCATTTGCTCCAGCAGTACTGCTCTCGCATGGCCTCCGTGAAGGGCATCTCGGGGAACATGTCGGACATGTTGTTGCTGTTGAAAGTTAAGTTGATCTCGGTGCAAACCTGAGGGAGGTAAAAGAGCTGTCATGGGGTGGGGGGATAACCAGGGCAGGAGCTGTTGGTGTCTCCACCACCTTACCTGGTAGTCCCAGGCCTCAGCGTCTGAGCCGATGCCGCAGCCCGTGGGGTCAGCACAGGAGCGGTACAGCTGGTATATGTCGTAACACTGGGCTGAGCCGGAGGAGTTGTAGAACACCCCTGCCAAGGGAGACCACAGCACAAAGCCAACCTGTCAGTACCTCTCTGCTGTCACACCCGCCACCTCCCACACGAACCTCACGGCCCAGACCAGGCAAAGGGGTAGCTAGCCCAGCTGGGCAAGTGTGTAAGGCTGGGGCAGGACTAGTAGGGTCTGCCCCAGGGTTAGGTTACGATCCCAACTTTATGCCAAAGCTTTCACATGGTCTCAAGCCCGGCTGCATGATACCCTTTGCTTCTGCTGTACCCACGGGGGGAGCAGAGGCTCCCAGGTGCTTGCTGCTGTCTCTGCTCGTGCCAAAAGCCAAGTGAGTGGCCAGAAGTGTCCTTGGGAGAGCCCCAGCCTCCAACCCCTAACGCACCCAGGAGCAGGCTGCGCACAGGACGGTAGCTGAATGCCTCACACTGAATGGGGCACAACTGCTGAGACCTTCCCACCCGCTCCCTGAAAGTAGCTGTTGTTGTCTGAATCCATCAGATTTAGTCAGAGGGCCAAGGGTGGCACATCACAGCAGGATTTTGTTTGACTGTTGTTCAAGAAGGGAAAGATGGCGTGTCCAGGCTTGCCCAGATGAAAGAGCACCTGATCAGGCGGCCCAGCGAAGCATGGCTGGGGAGTTGCCAAAGAATGAGCTGTTTTTTTTGTGTGGATGGGCAGTTACCAGATAGCAATGAGGAGGAACGCAGCTACGCCAGTGGCTGTCTGCTCCTGCCAGTGTCACAGCCCCCAGGCAAAACCCACAAACCCTGTGGGTTTTGTGCGATAAGCAGCACCAACAGCTCCGCTTGCAAACGGCCCCGGGCAGCTCTGCAAGGCCCGTGGCGCTCTGCGCCCGCACAGCACCGGGCAGAGGCCGCTGAGGAGGGAGGCTGCTGCAGCAACTGCCTGTGGAGTGGCTCTGCGGCACGGGCAGCACGGCCTCAGCTCCCTCGAAGCATGAAGCCACTGGTTCGGCTGCAGAAGACGGCCCAGGAGATGCACTGAGGGTGCACAGCGGAGAGTCCTGGGGCTGCTCCAGGGCCATGCGCCTTTTGGAGCCATGCTGCTCAGCTCACAGGCCAGCGTGGCGAGGCTCGTGTCAGACACCTACCTGGCGAAGCTCCTGGAAGGGCTCAGCAGCCTTCGCTCGCAGAGTGCACTGTGCGACGTGACGCTGGAGGCAGAAGGGGTTTGCTTTCCAGCCCACAAGATTGTTTTAGCGTCAGCAAGTAATTACTGCAAGATCCTCTTTGTTGGAAACTTGACAAGAGCGGGGAGCCCCGATGGTAACATCCGGCTCAAAGCCGTCAGTGCTGCCGGGCTGAGGAACGTTCTCAACTTCATTTACTCCAACAAACTAGACCTCTCATTACAGAATGTCGAGGAGACCTTCAAAGCTGCAGAAGTCCTCCTGATTCGGGAGGTGATCAGGCTGTGCTTTCGCTTTCTGGAGGGTTGCTTGAACTGTGAGAACTGCATGGATGTTCTTAACATTGCTAAAAAACTTGGCCCAGCAGAGCTGAGACAGAAAGCCATGTGCTACGTAGGGCAGCATTACAAACAGATCCTGGCTGATCCCCAGTGCTTGAAAGACCTGGACCGAGGAACCCTTTGTGAAATTTTAGACAGGACTGACACCGAGGGATGCAGCGAGCTGGAGCTGTTCGGAGCTGCTGTGAGCTGGCTGCAGCATGACTGCACGCGGCTGAAAGACGCAGCAGATATTTTAAGGCGCATACGATTCCCTCTCATTCCTTTACAAGATCTGCAGAAGTATGTCCAGGAAATGCCTCTTATGGGGCTGGATTCAGGCTGCCGCAGGTACCTGCAGGAGGCTCTGCAGTACCACTCCCAGCCGTATGCTCAGCCTGTCCTGCAGACCCAGAGCACGAGCCTCCGCTCCGGCTCCACCGTGCTGCTTGTCGCTGGTGGCAGAACCGCTGACAACCGTGTGTGCAGAGAGATGTGGGCTGCAGACCACAGCTGCAGTGCCTGGCACAAGGTCGGGGACCTCTGTGTGCCAGTGTACAACCACTGTGTCGCCATCATCAATGACTTCCTCTTTGTCCTTGGGGGACAGTGCAAATTTGATCCCACAGGAAAGCAGCCATCCAATGAGGTAAGACACAAGAAACCTTTAGCCTTGGAAAAATGGCTGGGTGAGAAAGGGAGGGAGTCATTCCTCTTGCCCACCACAGATCTCCCACCTCTACATATTCCTTAGCGCTCTGTGCAGTACTGAAAGCCCTGGCGAATACAGCTTCCAAACTCTCAGGGAACCAACCAGGTCCTGCACTGGTCCCACCTTCCTCCTACTGTAAATTGTCACCTTAAGCTGTATACAACTTCCAGGGTGCAGGTTCAGCCAAGTCCACGCCAGTCACTCAAGCAACACCATGAATGCCATCCCTGTCCCCACTGTGCTGCCATGGGACTCATGCTCGGGAGGCACGGTTAAAGCCCACCACTTTACTTGAGAACAGCTCCTTCCTTGGTTTTGCCCTTGAAAGGCAAAGCTGCTTTAGCTGCCAGGACCTTCCCCTTCTGTCTGGGGAATTAAAAGACTTGTGCAGGACTTCATGTTTTCCTTGATGGCTTCAGTCATCTTACTAGAAAAAACAGCATGTTTTTCTTTCCCATGCTGCCAGGGGGCTTATTCCAGCATCGTACTTAGTTCAACAGCGCCACTGCAAACAGCAACTCCCTCCCAGTGCCTGGAAGGTAGGAGGTAGCTCAGCACCAGCGGAGCAGAGGATGCTGAAGCAGCAGGGCCACAGCACTGGCTGCCAGGTTGCAGCCCCAGCCCAGCACTCGCCTCACATGGTCCTGCAGATACTGCCCTTGCTCAGTGACCTGGGCTCTCTAACTAGGACTGACAAAACAAGCTTGGGGAGGTATTTACTGCTGAACGAGATGTGAGGGGAAGCCCAGTCTTAACAGAGGTGCTGTGCCACCAGTGGTGATGCCACCAGTGGCTTCCCCTCAAGCCACTCCTGCCGCCTTCTGGGTGAGAGCAGTGGGCAAAGCTCAGTCACTCCCTTTACTACACACTCAAAACAGCAGCAGAGATGCAAAATGTGCTTGTTTAAATCTCACTGCAACAGTCTTCAGCTGACACATGCTAGCTGGTGTTTGAAACAAAGGTACTTCCTTCGGCTAATGTGTTTCACCTCCTGCTTGCTGCCAGCTGAGAGCACAACCTGTTCCCAGACACCCACAGACCTGCAGAAAGGCCGTAACTGAGCCTCCAGCTCCCCAGGGGAGGTACTGGAAGTTGAGCCTGTCCAAGTCTGAATAGAAAACCTTCCTCAGTCCAGGGAAAACATTTAATCAGTTCTTGAAGCCACACAAGATGCAAGCCAGCCACTTGCCTTCTGTTAACCATCATCCATCTGCTGTGATCCTAGGTTTTCCGATTTGATCCCCGCAACACTTCCTGGCTCCAGGTCGCCAGCATGCTGAAGAGGCGGACACGCTTCCATGCAGATGTGCTGTCTGATCGCATCTTCGCTGTGGGTGGTGGGACGCTGCTGGGGACCCTCACCCGCACCGTGGAATTGTACCAGCCTGCTGACAACAAGTGGGAGTTCACAGCTCCTTTCCCCGTGCCTGTTGCTGATCATGCAGGCACAACCCACAAGGGAATCCTCTATATTTCAGGTGATAGAGCTGGTAGAAAGCAGCATATTTTCACGTAGTGGGTCTTTGCTGGCATCTTCATGTCACAATCTAAGCCTGCAACCACACCAGTTACACCCACAGTTCCAGTGTCCCTTTCCTGCTGCGTTAGCACAGCCCCACTGCCCTCCTGAATGGCAGGAATTATTTTCTAAGGTGACACCATCTGCTTGCAATCCACATCCCTGCTCACCTTTGACCTTGCAATCCTGGCTAAACCCGAAAGCTTTGCTGTCTGGAGCAGGCTGAAAGTGTTAGGGATAGCATTAGACCCTGGTATTAATCTGAGTGGAAGATGTGGAACTAACTCTACTGCGCTGCTTTGTTAATCTGTGCAAAAAGAAGTACAATGCAGGCTCCTGCCCACGGAGCCTGTGCAGTTTTTGGCCTACAAGGGATCCTTGGTCTTGACAGGGATCGTTGGTAGATGGTGCGGGATGTTGGACAATGAAGCAGCATGGGTTTAAACACTTCAGGGAATTCTTGTAAGATCTTTAGCTTTTGCAGCTACTAATTTGGACTGGAAACATAATCTTTGGTTTGTCCTGGGAAAAGCGCTGTGGTGTTTGTGTTATTGCCTCTGCAGTTAAAAGTCCTGGGCCAGTCTGCTGTCCCTGGAGGCTCCCTGCTTTGTAAACCACTTACGGCCACCTGGGATCCCTGTGCTGACCTAGTCCAGGTTAACTTCAACTGCACAGTGCAGTGAAGGGCACCGCTGTACCATGGACTGCACACCCCAGGGAGGGAAGGCAGCAGATGGGCTGTCCTGCCCAGACACGTACCCCCGTGACAGCCGGGCTCTCAGCTGGGGGAATGGCTGAGACTCAGGTCCAGGTCCCTGCTTTGCCTCAGCTGGCCCGTGGTGCCACAGGCAGCTCATTTAACCTGTTGGTCTTGAGTCCCACCAGAGAGCAAGGACAAAATGGCCTCCCAGAGCTTCAAACGCACCGTAGTGACCGAGGCTGGCTAACACGATACCCCTTGGGGGCAAGATCTTACCCACCCACAGTGTTCATTTCCTTCTGAACTGGTGGGGTAACTGCGAGTTCGATTTGGCCAGCCTCGAGCCCTGCCCAAGCAATCGGAAAAGTACGAGCGTTACTTCAGCACACGATTTACACACAAGCTCCACGCAGACCCAGTGTCCACGCCCAGGTGAGCTGGGGTGTGTGACCAGTCTGAAATATCATCTGCCTTGTTTGCAAAGACTCTCAGCAGGCTAGAATTCAACAGGCAGGCAGCTGGAGGCATTTACCCTTCCCATAGCAGCAGCCTCCTTCCGCAAGGAGCTTTTTGTAACGCATCCCTGAAACACACAAGTGAGTGCCTGATGAGGAGAAAAAGCTGACAGCAGCACTGGCAGATTGGCTCTGACCTTCTGTTGAAGATCCAGAGTTCAAAGAGCTTTGAACGCTTTTCTTTCGCACCACCATTATGTGCCTGCCTGTGCTGGAAGCAGATTCCCTAATTAAGGCTGTTCCTGGCTACACTTGAAATACCCCAAGAGCTTTATTCAAAAGTCTTTTGTGGAAAAGTATTTACAGAAAGATTTTTTTTTGGGGGAGGGGGCGGGGCAGGGGTTTCCCTCTTTAAAATACCTGAGAAGCTCAAGTTTTAAATTTCACACCCATCAGCTCTGCAGGATGGTGTGAAATTATAAACCGGAGCTTCTTAGATATTTTAAAGAAAAAAAAAAAGCAGCTCTGCTAATGTTTCCCGAAGGTTTGCTGGATGTCAGAGCATGATGGATAGATTTTTAAGACTTCTGCTTTCCTTCTAGGGGGCTTCTCTGGGGGTAAAACCTTACGAGACACTTACAGCTACCTCCCCCGCCTCCGACGCTGGATTGGCAACAGTGCCATGGCTTTCACCCGCTGTGATCACGGGATGGCTACAGTCAGGGACAAGATCTTTTGCATTGGAGGAAGGACACTAAAAGGAGTAAGTTAATTTGCTCTTATAATCCAAAATCTGATTCAAACTGGAGTCTCTGTATTACTAGGCCCTGACTCTTTTATTCCAACAGGTTGACCAGTAACTTCATTATTTTTGGTCTCTTAGTGGACTGGCGCAGCTGCAAGTCTGGCCAATGGGCTTATGAAAACATGTCTGCCATTACAGTCGTGCCCAGCAGCAGCTGCCCTGTTGTCACACTCTATTTGCTAGAGTACAAAGGCTGTTTAAAGCACTTTTTTTTTTTAAAATAGAGAAAACATATGGTGGAGGCAGAGCCTGCTAACACAGGAAAGTGTACCTGCCCCAAACACACTGACCTTGCTTAAGTTGACAGGGGGTGAAACACTGACAGATGGGAAAAGGACAGACCACAGTGAGGACACTAGCCTAGATTTTAGGAAAAATGGGCTCAAGTCCTGGAATGCAAATGGTCTCTTCAAACCTGGGTTTCCCATCTCTGTAAAAGGAGGGAAAGTACTGCCCAGCCTTCTGGGAAGAGACCTAACGGGGACTGGAAGCCTCACTCTCGGAGAATCCCATTCCCTGAAGGCAAGAGAACTGAGTTTAAAAAGATCATTCAGGAATTCCCATTTGAAAGTGTAAAGACTCAGGGCCTGGCCTGATTTTACCAGACGGTAGGGTTTCTTTTGGAAGGAACGAGAGTGTCTTAGAGTACTGAATCGCTCACTGAGGAAGGGATAGAAATCTATAAAGAGAAACTGCACATCCAGGCTGACATCAAATTCCTCCAGATGACACAAACTCTGTTTTGCCCACAATTCAATGCAATATTGCCCTCTTTAGCTGTTTCTCTTCATAATGTGTTATAAGTCTTGGGCTATGCCAGTTCCAGCAGGTCCCTGTGGCAGCTTGCTCAGCTCGCTCCTCTGGTTTTCCAAGAAGAGGTAAGCTCCTTTAAAGCCATGCCGTTCTGGTATTTTATTCAGTTTATTTTGAGGCTCTGATTGCTAAATGTGGATTGAAAATCTGGCACCTTGAGCCCCATGGAATTCGAATAGACGTTGAGACAATGGTTTCCAGCAAGCCTGACGTGACAGTGATGCCCACTCGAGGCATGATACGATGGGTGAGCGTTGGTCTGGTTCTTTGCAGGCAGAGGAATGGATTCACGTCAACGAGATGGAGTATTATTGTCCTGTAAGCAATCAGTGGACAACGCTAACGCTCCCCCCGTTCAGCTGCTGCCAGTTCAGCCTCACAGCCCACAACACTACGCTCTGCCTCACAGGAGGTGGGTCGCTGCAGCACATGCAGAAAGGAGACAGCGTTTTCCTGTATGACACAGACGGGCAGGTATGGAAGAAAGCCAGTCCCCTGCCTAAAGCTCTGGTGGATCACGCCTCTTGCATGATTAAACTGTCCCAAGTGAATGCAGGTGGTGAGATGGCGAGAGGCACAAAGTGCTCCCCCACGGGCAGGAGGAAGAACTCTCCCCTCAGCTTGTTCATCACAAAGAAACAAGAGCCCCGCTCCGCCTCAGAAGAGAAGTAGGATATGAATATGTCAAGCAGATCTGACAGTGTTTGCCAAGACATCAGTATTTTAACAACTCTTCAGCTGCCAGCCCAACATCTTGAGCAGTGATTTGGAACTGCTACGTTTCTTGACTTGGTGCTATCATGGCCACAAGCACAATTCGCAAAGAAAAACGAATTAGTTCCCAGTCCTACTAAGCTGCATTAAACCTGTAAGAATTACTTAAATCCATTTTTTTTTGTCACTCAGAACCTGTTTTTCTGAATAATGACCAAGGTAGAACATATTTTTAATAAGCAACCTGAGAGATTTTATGAGGAAGTCTTCAAAAGAGCTTTGAATTCTATCTCTATAATTTCCTTACAAACACTGCTGGCTGACAAATGAAGTACTCACAGAGATAAATATACACGATGTATTTAGGATTGTCTTGCCACTGGATTAAGACCATCGGGCATTGTGATGACCTCATCCTCAACAAGCACACCAGAAAACGTCCTTCAGTGAACATGCACTGAACCTGTGACTCCTTGAGCCAGAGTATGGGTAAATTCTTAGAAAAGAACCAAGTACATCAGAAGTCCACATCTCATGGACAGTCAACAAGCTAAGGGGCTCATTGGCTGAAAAATCTGATGAGGATGAGTTTGGAGAGGTGAGGGAATGAACCCATGGGCCACCACGGGACGTCCAACAGACAAAGCCAATATAGGGCAAAACGTCCCAGTGGGAGACAGGAGTCACACCAGCTCCCACGATACGGAACCCACACAACAACACAACAGCTCTACTTACGAGGTGCTTCTAGAAAACAGGGCATTAAATAAAAGACCAAACTGATACTAACAACTCACCAACAAGAGCAGCCAGGCCTTGTACTGGGTCTGTGTGGGCAAGGATTTGTTCACAGCCAACCTGGATGAGACATTACAGGCAGATTACAGACAGGATGGTTAACAGTCTCTGCTCCACAGAAGGGCTAAGCTGGAAGATTCATTGAACTTATCACACATTCCAAGGGCCTAACACAATAGGGTTTTGGTTTTTTTTCCTCCCTTCTAGCAACCAAATACATAGAAACAAGGAGACAGGGCTCGGACAAACAGTTCCTTTACCATGTTAAGCAGCTGTGCAGGGGCTACAGTGATATATAACAGTTCCTTCCTCCTACAATAACAATATTTTAATGCCCTTCTCAAGGCGGGCAGAATAATTAATTCCCTTTTACAGGTTGTTAAACAGACCCTAGAAGGGAACTGGATGCCCAGTGGCGCCAGAGACAGCATCTCCTGAGTCCCAGTACAGTGTAGCCTGTATGACCTCTTGCACAGTATGCATTTTGCTCCAGGTAGGACTCAAACCATAAATGCCACAAGGCCAGAGGCGAACAAAAGTCCCATTGGCATGGTGTGCTGGAGCGCAGCAGAGAACAGCAGCACGAGGCTGACAGCACAGCAGAAGAAACCAGGGATTGCAACAGCAACTGGTGATCTGGGATCAAAGCTGGGACCTTGCAAAAGCAGCTGGTGTCTGAGAAATCTTTTAACCCCTGAGAACCAGGCCCCCTTCCCACACTTTGCCATCTCTGACTCTCTTGAAAGTTTACAGGTTTTCCAGTTCCTGCAGCAGCAGACTTCTCTCTGCACTGTATTCTGAGGTATGTCATCTTCCTGGGCAATACTTGGAAAGGAGCCCAATGTTTAGATCTCCGTCCCTACCCACCAAGAAAAATACACCTAAGAAAGAGTATTGAGGTGGGCTACAACAAAGCTGCATTTTTTAAAAAAGCTACAGGCTTTTAGTGTCTAAAAGCTGAGGTCAACAAGCTTGTACAGGCCTTTGTGTATAAGGTAAAGGCAGAGCAGGACAGGTAGCAGCAAACCCTCCCCAATGAGCCTTACAGCAGAGCATTTCAAACACAGCAGTCACCGTCACAGAGAAGTTTAAAATGTATAGATTTAGTGTCAGAGAGGAAGGCCTACCTCCCCCCATCACCACCACAGATGGCGTGTGCCTGACAGTGTCCCAGGCTGTGCAGCCCCCCGCACTCCCGTCACATCAGAAACCGCGACTCTCACCCACGTCCCACTACTCACCTTCACTGGATTGGCAGGGAGGTGACCCATGAAATCGGTTTTGTAAGGGTAGTCCATCATGGCCATCATGGTGAAGGCATTTCTAGCAAACCCAAAAAGCTGGTAAACATCGTCCTTGTTAGAGATCTTATTGCATGTGGCCATCTTGCTGCTGATTTCATCATAGGCTGCGGGAGGAAGGAAAATGAAAGACATGAACTTCAACAGAGGAAAATAATACCAAGCTTCAGCCTCCTGTTTCACTCAGGAGCAAGGAGATGCCGTAACACAGAGATGAGGTTTCTGCTGGGAAGGACACATTACATCTGAAGTTACACACAGGCGGATGTTCAGGCACAGCCTCCTGTGCAGCTTCACAACCATGGCCATGGCCTGCACTCTGCTCCTCACAGAGCCACCGACACGTCCCTGGGGAGCCCAGAGGAACCAGGACCCACTGAGACAGAAGCAGTCCCAGCTGGCAGTTCGGTTCGAGTCCAGCCTCGCTGGTGCCCTGCCTGCCTGCCTCCTCCTCACCCCTGCAGGCTCCCTCTCCAGGGTCTGCTGTGCCCGGCAGGGCACTCTCCCCAGGCAAGCAGGGTACAGCACACAGGTCCCAGTGGGATTCAACAGCTGCAAGAACTGGCAGGGGAAAAAAAATTAAAAATTTCTGCATGGGAACTGGGTGCATTTGTAGTAAGAATTGCCAAGTGAAAATAGTCCTCACAAAGTCACAAAGGACTCCTGAGACATGCTTCCAAACCTTGGCGTGACGAAGAGAGGGCAACTGGAGTCAGGAAATCCGTCTTTGAAGAGATTCCTTCAAGATACACTCACACACCTTTGCATTTCTACCTGGGGAAAGTTGCTCCCTTCATTTTCATCCTCCACATTCTGGAGTCACAGCTCCTGTCTGTCCCCACTGTACGCCACAAGCTGCCCACTGGAGTCCGGCTGTCCTTACTTGGAAATCCAAGGCCTGGGACCTGCCTCTTGATACTCACTTGAGGGCCTAAGCCTTAAATACGACTTTACCCACCCCGCTGCAGAAAGCATGGCCCCAGGCAGACCTCAAGGACTTCGGCTATTTAACAGTAACATTTTTCCTGCTGTGATCCATGGCTAAATGGGGTTTTGAACCCCCAGCTCCTCTGGGCAATTCCAGGACCAGCCCCTGCAGCAAGACAGCGACAGCAGCCATGAGAGGCACACGACCCCTGATGTGCAACACCACAGACCGAGCCAAGCCTTGAGACAGACCAAGAACACAGCACAGCTGTTCCAACACCATGCAGGGCTCCCAGGAGACACTGCATTGGCGCACGTATCTGCTCTGGCCTACTTGGGAGACATCACAGAGATCTTCACCAGCCTCTGTCCTTGGCTTCACCTAACTGTCCAAGGCTGCAGGTGAAAGAGACGGCGATGGCTGCTCCAAGACCTAGATCGCCTTTCGAGTATTTCTCAGCAATGTCCAGCGAGCCGGGCCACGCAGTTGTCATACCCACCTGAATAGTTCTCAACAGTGCGGGTGTTGAGGATAAGTATCTGGTGAAACATGAGGCTCTACCAGCACAAAATGCAGGTGTTTGCATGCACCTGCAGGTGGTTTTGCACTAAGGTGCAGAAAAGACGGTTTCATTAACACTGTGCAAGCTCCCACACAGATGCTTTCATTTTGGTGTCAGCTACTAATTTTAATGGTAACTGAAACTGTTCATTAAATAAAAAATAATCACGTGAGCAGCAAGAGGCAGCCAGGTGAGCATTTGCATTGATTGAGCTGAACAAACTGAAGACCTAGCTGAAGTAAATCTGAATCATCTTTTCTCCCTGTGGCTGCCTGCTGGCTGCCCTCGGGAAGCTGTCTGCAGGGCTCTCTCTCCTTACCTCCACTCAGGCACAGGTCCTTTATCTGCTGGAAGGCTTTGCGGACAGCTGCAACGCAGCCTGGGCTGGACTTCTGAAAATCCTGAAGGTACAGAAAAGACATGGGATTACAGCTGCACAGAGGAGATACATGCAGAGGCTGCACTGGGAAGAACTTCCAGAAGTACCAGGAGACAACAGGGGTTACTGGCCTACTGGTCAGAACCTCATCTGCATCTCCAGGAGCAGCGACATCAGTGCTTCTGCCTTGTGCTCCAGACAACCAGCACGTCCCAGCAGAAGCTCAGACCAAGCAGCAATGGTTTCACCAGGTCTCGCTGGGATGAGCTGTCAGACAAAACACTTTGCACTTACTGCAGCCATTAGACTGCACACGAAGCAGCAAGAGGAGACACATGCCTTGGCCAGGACATGGAAAGAAGGTGCCAGGCTGCTAGGCCTGAAAGCTTTCTGTTGTTTTTTGTTAAACACACAATAGAGTTCTTCCAAGTGCACTTTGTCTACGAGAAAGAGCCATGGAGAAGTCAGTTATGCACAGAGGGCTGGGCACTGGTTTGGGAACCAAGACCTGCTTTTCTTCTTACGCCTGCCACCAGTGACCTGCCAGATGACCAAGGCGGCCATGTCCTTTTTCTTAGGAAAAACATTACTGATCCTGAAAAAGCACTTTAAGGTATGTTTGAAGAGCTGTGGCTGGTTATGCTGGTGGAACAAGTTCTTTCTGTCACCCCAAACTGTTTCACTTCTGTCAGCTTGTAAGGCAGTTTAAGGTCTGCTGGCAATCAGTGCTTTGTAATAATAAGAATTATTAGGGCTCTTTTAAGGTCCCTTTACCCTGCTAGTGCAATGGTTAAGTAACCACCAATCATTAGCTAAGCATTTTTCTTACAAAGACCCAGCCTCAACTAATAATAGATTTGGGACCTTTCTTTTATTCCTAACTCTGCCTTTGTCTGACAGTTATCCTTGGAGAAACTGCTATGGGGTTTTCCAGTTTATCAGGCATCCCATTAGGGGTTCCAAATCTCCTTCTGGATATGCTTATTGATCTTCATGTACTAATGGCTCTAACTGGAGTGTGGGGACACATCGGCCTGGGACAGAGGAGCAGGTCTGCTCCGGCTGCTGTGACCGCTGAGCTCCCCACCAGGCAACACTGGACTGCTGCAGCGCACTGCTTAGCACGCTGAGGAACCACCACCCATTCCAGTTCTCCCCACAGCCCCTGATGGACCAGTTCAGCTGAGCAGAAGCAGGAGGCATTACAGCCATTCCAAGGAAAGCTGTTCCCCTCCAGGCTGCCAGCTTTACCCTTTTGAATCTCTCCTAATTCAGACCTTCAATCTGCCCTAAGCTGATGGCCTCAACAGCCCCGCAGCAGGAACCTTTCCGGAAGCACGCACGTAGCTGTACGCGTTGCGTTCACACAGGGCCTTTCTGCCTGGTTGCAGGCAGGACAGCAGGCAGATATAACATAGTTTTATACAAATACCTTATGCAAAATCAACTTTCTGTCCTTTGCTCACTTCCCCTGTGAGCTGGAGGCTTATGAAGTGAGCTGGAAAAGCTCAGCAGAAGTCACAGAGAAAGCTGCTTTGAGACAATGCTCCCTGACTCATGGGAAGAGAGAGCTGCCCGCAATGAGTCATGAAAGGTTTGTGCCTTCATTAGTATTAACTGCTCTCGGGGGTGTTCTCTCACCAAGAGCAGCAATTGAATTCAGATTTCAGTGCACAGATTGCTTTTATGCAAACACACTGAAGGTGGAATGAATTACTTTGAAAACAACACAAAGTGCTTGCTTAGGATCTCAGCTTACTGCTGCAGAAAGAATATATTTTAAAATTAATTGGAAAGTTTTTTTCACATGAAAAGGTGAAAGCCTTAATTTCAGGGGTGTGTAATGACTCACAGCATATTCACAGCTGAAGCAAGACAGAGCTATCAGCTGAACAGGGCTTCTGAGAAGGAACTACCTTCAACTAGCGGTATGACACTTTTTGGTTTAAAATGTGTAATTTTAAGATCAGATGTCTTTTATTCTCTTATACACTTAAAAGTTTCAAATGCTATTGTGTTTATTTTCACATGATGATCTCTTCTTTACACTTACTGGTAATGCTCTCTGTCCTGTAAGTCTCTGCATAGAAATAACGTTTTCATATACGTAAATAAGAGCAAAAAGACCGTAAGTTTCACACACAGGTAGTTCACGCAAAGCTACCTGTGTCACCCAGGTCTAGAAATCCATGTCGAAAAAGAAGCAAAACAGACACCGTCACAAGATTTCAGTACTACCAAGCAGTACATTTCTTTCCTTATAAACTAAATGTAAGTCAGTTCCAACCAATACGATCTTCCTATGGGCCCTATGTCCCATATGTCTCATAATGCAAGAGCCACACTTAAACTTGGGTTTTAAATAAACCCAGGACACCTTGCATATTTTTAGTTAGTGAAATGAAGATTTCCAAGCTATTCATTGAAATGCAGCCATCTTGGGACTAAGGAGCTGCTGTGAAACATTGATATCAATGCAAAATACAGTATTTTGGGAGAGGATTTGAAGAATAAGTTATCCAAGGTGGTTCAGCCAGGCACAAATGAAAACTTCCAGGCTGGAATACGGTCAAGTCACTAGAAATGGGAAAGTGAATCCTTAGTGGTACTAAAGGTGCTGGAACCAAGTTGTGAGCAGCACCTTTGGGCCCTGAGCTGCCACAGCTAAGGCAGTGCTCAGCCATCCCATCTGCAGCAGCTGCTTTTCCTTGCGGGTTCCCATTTAATTCCATTCCCTGCCCAGCCCTCATGCTGTGAAGACAGGTGTCTCTTTAAACACATGGAAAAGGAAAAAAATCCAGCCTTCTTAAAGGAAGAAAATAATGCTCCTGAAAAGAGATGCTACTTACTGCTGTCACATCTCTGAAGAACTGAGTGGAGTCTCCAAGCCCAGCCACAGACAACAGAGGAGCACTGGCAGCTAATGCTCCAGCCACAATGTTGGGGTATTTCATCCTCATGTAAGCGCTCAGCATTCCTCCATAGCTACCACGGGAGAGACAAAAGAGTTATTTCCTTTAACAGACAGCTTATAACAGAGTTACTCCAAAGTTCAGGCCAGCATTCACAGGCTCACCTAACGCAAGACAACAAGAAGCTTAAGGTTATCTAGTAGGTGCCATCCTCAGGTAAAAAGATCCAGCTATGGTCCATCAGCAGCACACAACGTGTTCTACTGGCCTTTCCCCAAACACTCACACCACCTCTGGTGGGAACACAGCAGCCCACTTTGCTGCTGCAGCCAAATGCAAATCTTGCTGCAATATTTAATCCTGCACCATCCTGAGTGTGTCCTGACAGCTTCAGTGCAGAACCAAGCGGGGCTCAGGTGAAGCTGTCACTGCTCAATGGGGGAAGGAGTCACATTTTACATATGGCATTATAGCGACTAGCTGGGCTCTTAGCAAAAGGTGTCCCGGAACACAGTGGAGTACGCAGCCCCCTCTGGGGCTGGGAAGTGGAGAGCATTCTCCCTGGGCACCCCAACTAACAGCTGCACAGATCATCAGCGCAGTTATGGGGAAGGAGAGACATTAACAAATACCACAATAAAACTCAAAGCCACCTTGGTAGCTTCAGTGCCAGGGCCACCATCTGCAGATGTATCAAGGGTTGCTGCCCAGGTGGCCAAGAAGGCAAACAGCATCCTGGCCTGTATCAGCCATGGTGTGGCCAGCAGGAGCAGGGAGGTGATCGTGCCCCTGTACTGGGCACTGGTGAGGCCGCCCTTCGAATGCTGAGTGCAGCTTTGGGCCCCTCACTGCAAGAAAGGCACTGAGGTGCTGGAGAGGGTACAGAGAAGGGCAACGAAGCTGGTGAAGGATCTGGAGAACAGGTTTTGTGAGGAGCGGCTGAGGGAAATGGGGGTGTTTAGTCTGGAGAAGAGGAGGCTGAGGGGAGACCTTATCGCTCTCTGCAACTGCCTGAAAGGAGGGTGTAGTGAGGTGGGAGTTCGTCTCTTCTCCCAAGTAACAAGTGATAGGACAAGAGGAAATGGCCTCAAGTTGCACCAGGGGAGGTTTAGATTGGACATGAGGAAAAATTTCTTTACTGAAAGCGTGGTCAAACATTGGAACAGGCTGCCCAGGGAGGTGGTGGAGTCACGAGCCCTGGGGGTGTTCAAAAAATGTGTAGATGTGGCACTTAAGGCCATGGTTTAGTGGGCATGGTGGGGTTGGGTTGACAGTTGGACTTGATCTTAGAGGTCTTTTCCAACCTCTATGATTCTATAAACCAAGGTGACAAAAGTTATTCATATGCCGATGTTTGTGGAATTACCCTGAGGTCACTCCTGGGAGTGGCAAATGACACGCTCGAAGAGCAGGTCATGCCCAGTCTGACTCCAAGCCTACAGGCATTCAAGTCTCCCTCCCCACCACCTCGAGCAGGTGCAGCAAATACCATTCCCACATCACCCCCATGTAGAGCAATATGCTTTAACCCCACTCTTGGAAACAGGCATTAGCTGAAACCTGCCATGAGTAATTTCACGTTAAAGTTTGGTAAAGTTATAAGCAACAGAAGAGGGTTTTTTTTTCTCCCATGGGAAATGCTGTGCTGCTCCAACACTGACATATTTCAGTATTCTTCAGATGGGTTTAGTGTTGTTCAGGGCTGCCAGACTGAACTCTGATTTACCCAGGTGGAGCTGGGTCTAACATGCAGCCTAGCCAGCAGGTTTTGCTGAATCCCTCTCCCACCTCCCCACCCCAGAACAGCTCCTGGCCCTTTTTAGTGGGTTACTGGCCTGACAGTCACAGTAGAAACACCCTCGAGATGAACAGTCCAGTCACCACTACAGCGAGCAAGAAGCTTAATGACAACTTAGGGCAAATGCTTGTTAGCTCCCTGCAACCGAATGAGAAGCCCTGTACCTGGTGGAAGCCTTTCAAAGGGAAGCATCCCTCTACTAGAAGTGTGGGGAGCCATTCAAGAGACAAGGACATCGCATCAACCCAGCTCTGAGTTGCAGCAGAGCAAGCACTTCAGGGAAGGACTTCTGCTAGGAAGCCAGGAGCAGCAGGTTGCAGAGCAGAATTATAAAGGAGGCTGCAATGAAAATGGCTGAATGTTTGTTAAAGAGGATGTGTTTAATAAAAAGCTGGGTGGCCCCTCGAAAGAATATTTTACTAACTAATAGTTTTCTGTATTTCCAATGTAAAATGCTCTTATCCTGCAGCTCTGGCTGACATTGAAGGTGCCTAGAAACATCCAGTCAGTGGTGCTTCTCCAAAGCAACCACAAATTGAGACTAATTCTTGATGGGAGAGCTACTGGGACCTGGTGATGAGCTCTTGGGAGCTCAGGCACAGGCGCATTTGCTCTCTGTTGGACAGCTTAAGCTCGCTCTGCCTTTAGAACTTTCTTGAGAGCCAAACAGATCCACGAGAGCAGCAGGACTGTGGCTGGGAAAGGACAGGGACAAGGAAAGGAGCACACACAACATTTACCTGCCTCCAAAAGCAATGACGGGGCAGTCTGCGGCACCGTACTGCTGCTTAAGCTCGGTAATTAGCACTGCATAGTCAGCGAGGGCTTGTTCCACAGTCAGCAGACCAGTCCTCTTCAGCTGTGTTGACTCAAGTCCAAATGGAAGAGACTTCCCATAGTACCTCTGAAAGGAAAGAGACGCTGAGGAAATGCTGGTGTCAAGGTCTAGGTCCTCTCTGTTCTCACATAGAACTGGAGTCAACGTGCACAAGTGGGAAGCAGTAACAGAGCAGGTGGGGTCCTCTAACTTGCTCGTAACTAAGGAAGTGCCTTGTCTCCTGCATCTATAAGCAGAGACCGTCAGGACGTATCCTGTAGAGGATGGACAGTCCATAACAAGCCACTTCAGTGGGTGCCAAGTGGGCCCTTGGCACGTGTCTCTCTTCTGAAATCCCCAACTAGAAAAGGAGACGGGGTAATCTCTTCATGCGTAAGCTGTGGAAAAGATTTAATAGACTGGTGTGCCTAGGGAAAGGTTGGCTTGGGACTTCGCAGGCTAGAGAGATTAAATACTAACCAAACAAAATAACTCTCTAGTCCAGTGTGGAGTTCAAGGCCCATGGAAACCACTGACAAAAGCAATGGTCTAAAGCAAATACCCCATAACATAGGTTTTACTGAAACAGGAGTCTGTGTCCTGGGTTGCTGGTAGGCATAGTAAAAAAAAAAAATTCAGAAGCCATGGTTAAGCAAAGAAGAGCTGCTACCATGAGGAGAGAGCTTACAGCAGGTGTACCTCAGCTTCATGGCAAGAGATGTTATCATTTTTCTGGACCTGCAAAAAGCTGAATTTGTTAGTACTGAGCAGAACAAGACTCTATAGTATGCATAATGACTAAAATACTCACATGCTCGGCAAAAATCACAAGTGCTTGCTGTTCCTCTGCTAATTCAAATATGAAATCAGAGTTCTGAGCAAAAGTCCAGATGTCACCTTCATTGCCAGTATAGAAAAAGATGGGTCCAAATCCTTTCTTCCAGAACTTTGCTGAGTGAAACAATTGACAGAGGCAAATTAAAAAAAGCAAACAAAACAAACAAACAACAACAAAAAACCACGAGCATGAAATAACTTTACTTTTGGTGAGTTTGGGCAGGAGCTTAACAAGGAAGAGCTCTATGAACAGGCTGATCCCTGAGAACCGAGCTGGGGCACAAAGGTGTGAGAAAGGCCAGGCTACAGAAATCTCTGATTTGGACAGGAGTAATTAAGAGCTTCCATGAGATCAGCACACAGCCTGGAACTTCCACTTCTACCTGAAAATACCTGAAATCTCAGTTCCGCAGGGCATTTGGAAACAACCCCAAAAGAGTGATTTTCTATTTATATATGCTTTTCAGCACAACTCATCCCAAAATGCATATCACTTTTCCCACAAAATGGATGTTAGGGAACCGCCTGCATCTTTCTGCTGCTCCTGCTGGGATGTATAACGTAAAGCCAAGCTGTAAATCACGTATCACCCACTAGTTTAGGTGGAACGGACCTTCAAAGATCATCCAGTTTGGTGCCCCTTCAGCAGGCAGGGACATCTTCCACTGGATCAGGTTGCTCACACCCCGTCCAGTCAGACGTCCAACACTTCCAGGGATGGGGCATCCACAGCGTCTCTGGGCAACCTGGTCCAGTATCTCACCATCCTCATAATAAAATAATTCTTCTTCATGGCTAATCCAAACCCACCCTCTTTCAGTTTAAAACCATCGCCCCTTGTCCTGTCACTACAGGCCCCAGTAAAAAGTCTCTCTCTCCCTTTCTGATGAACCCCCTTTATATACCAAAAGGTCACAATAACATCTCCCCAGAACCTTCTCTTCTCCAGGCTGAACACCCCCAACTCCCTCAGTCTGTCCTTACAGGGGAGGTGCCCCAGCTCCTGTGCATTTTGGTGGCCTCCTCAGGACTCGCTCCAACAGGTCCGTGTCTTTCCTGTGCTGAGGGCCCCAGAGCTGGGCACAGCACTGCAGGGGGGGTCTGACCAGGGCGGAGTAAAGGGGGGGAACCCCCTCCCTTGCCCTGCTGGCCATGCTGCTTTGGATGCAGCCCAGGATATGCTGCTGCTGCTGCTAGACATTACCTATGTATGGATCTCACAGGATATATCTTATCATATGTGATGATATATGAAAATGATGTTCTTCGTCCTCCAATCTGTTAATAACCGAAGGCAAATTGAGACTGGCGGGACAAGCCGACCCACGATGTCAGTACTTGCTTGTCTAACAAACGGTGGCTTTAATGCTGGCTGCCTTTAACAAACATTTTATTTTAGCTTACTCTTAAACTGCACAGGACTCCAGAGGGACAATAGACAGCTTTCTTGAACAAAGACCTCAGACAGTCACGTGTTGATTGCCACAGCACCCAAAGGCACCCTCCAAGAGCAGTTGTCCCACGGATGCCGCTGCAGCACATCTCAGGAGGCCGTTTCTGTTAGCACCCTTGGCATCCTCAGCGCAGACTTGCCAAAGCAGGATTTGGCTTGGAAATGGGTTTGAAACCTTTCGTTAGCGAAACTGCCGCTCTTTGTTAACAAAGAGGCTGATTCTCTTTCTGTCTTGTGTTTGCTTTGGGTATCAGGTAGGAAACTGAAGCGCTACCTTTCCTCTGGCTTTTCTTCTGATACGCTTTGTGGCTCCTGGAGTAAACAACCATTCACAGGAGCCAAGACCAAACCAGATGCGTTGCTTAAAAAGGTATTTATTTTTAGACTAAAATCTGGGGAGCTGCCAGCCAACCTCAAGACAGTCAGGTGCCTGGTTGTGAAATAACGGTCACCTTCCAGTTCTCGCTGATAATCTGAAAAGTCACTTATTTCACAAGAAGCAGTAGCAGGGAAAGCAATTACTCGCAGGAATTTTTAGGAAGAAACTACTTGTAAATCAGCAGGACTGCAATATTAATGTTTTGTTGCTAACAAATATTATTCAGCTCTGCCCAGGACACAGACAGAACCTAACACTTTAAAAAGAAAACAACAAAAAAAGTTATGCAATGCTTTAAACCCAGTTCTATTCAAAAAGGACTGCTCAATTAGTGACATTTCAGCCTTAGACATCTATCAAAATTCCTATCTTTGGGCTGAACCAACCCATGAATCCACGCCTGGTGAAACACGTACGACTGGGTGCAGGTGCTGCCCAAGCTGCAGAGCAAGAGGGATGTGAAGAAGGTGAGCGCTGCAGACAAAGCCCCAGCTGCAAGCAGCCTGCAGGGCAGCACAGGCAGGCACCAGGCTGGGCAGCACTGGTGCTATTCACAGCTCCGCTTTCGCTCTCTCCCTGCAAAGCTCTCCCTGCTTCCTCAGAGCCAGGAGGACTGAAAAACATGTGACACTGGTTATTCAAATTGCTGTCTTTTTAGTCACCTGCTGTTCAGGAAGGCCTCCTCCCTCTTGCTGTCTGTGGCACAGAAGGTAACTCATTATTTGGCTAGACAGGAAGACCCTGCCGGCTCCCTGCTGGAAGCCTTCATTGTTCAGCACGGCTTAAGCCATCTGAAGTTACAGGGGTTTAAATAACGCAAAACACTGACCCCAGGGGCGTTAGCTGCACTCGTCCGAGCGATGGGTACAGAGTGCAACGTTTGGGTCACTATTTGTTTCTTCTGCTGCGTTCAGAGCACCGAGTGAGATGCTGTGGCCAGCTGCAGACACAGGGGCACAGAGTCAGCCGTGGTGCCAGCCTGGCGCAGCCGCTGCTTCTGGTC